GATTCTCTCTCATCATGGATGTTTCTCTCTCTCTCTCCCTCTCCCTTCCTCTCCGAAATCAATAAAACATAAAAAAAAAAAATTAAAAGGCCACTGAAACGTGTTACAGTGGGGTGTGGGGAGCCGCGTGCCCTGGCCGGGGGGGTGACAGGGTCGGGAGGTGGCAGGGGGTACCTGGATGGGGGTGTTCAGAGGGTGGGTCCTGGGGACCAGAGGTACCTGACGGGGTCCATCCACTTGGTGACATGCTCGTCGCTCCCGGCGGCCTCGGCACCCCCCTCCACCACGAGGAACGAGGTCTGGATCAGCAGCGCCATGAACAGCGGCGGGAACAGCATCTGCACCTCCATCCGCCGGCTGGGCTCCAGCAGCAGCTCATGCATGGCCCTGGTGGCCTGGGGTGGGCGGAGGGCGGAGAGCAGGCACGTGGGCAACGTTGGCCTCAGCTCTTGGGTCCACCCACAGTGACCGTGACGGGCTGGTCCAGAAATCCCAGGCGTGAGAGCCAGAAAACATCAAGGGAAATTCCTAGAATGCTATGATTTTAATTTCTTTTTTCTTTTTTTCCCCCCCTTTAGAATGCTTTTTTTTAATTATTGATTTCAGAAAGGAAGGGAGAGGGAGAGAGAGAGAAAAACATCCATGATGAGTGAGAACCATGGATCGGCTGCCTCCTGCACGCCCCCCACTGGGCATGCGCCCTGACCGGGATAGAACTGGAGGCCTCTTGGTTCCTGGGTCAACGCTCACCGCTGAGCCACACGGGCTGTGCAGAACGCCATGATTTTACTAGTAAAGTGCTCCCCCCACTGCCTTTGCTTATTGTCTCACCGTCCTAGAGAGTTAGCAGAGCCTGGGGGCGTCGGTCCTCCCTAAGCCCCCCGGGGAGAAATAGAAGCTACCCTGTCCCCCAGGAGGCACGGTGGACCCTCCCATGGATCGCACCCCAGACTCTGCAATGGCCCAGCGGACAGAGAGGAGAAGGCAGCGGCCCAGGGAGCTCAGGATAGCAAGGCCCGGGCAGCTAGGAGGCCGGCCCCGCCCCAGCGCC